CTCCTAAAGTGAAACTTTCCTCGATTCATTTCTAGTTGGCTTCTTATTGCGAAAATTTGTTTTAAGCTTAACATTAAGCTTATCTACCTTTAGTCTTATGGAGTTTTCTTTTCTACCAAAAAATGTTGCTTTCTCATTGGCCTCTGCGCAGAAATACTCAAAAGAGGGCAATGTAAAGGCAAAATTTTTTGTAGAATAGAAAAAACTATTAAGCGCTGGTTATACTTACATTCTGCATTCCAGCGAATTCTACATTCTAGTGCATAGCATGAGTCCTGTCACATATCAAATCTGTTTGACGAGTTTTGCAAACAAGCGATTATCAGACGCAGCGCATGGCAGGGACAGCGAGGTCTGCGCATTTTGGATTTTTCGCTATGTTATGTTTTCAAAAAGAGATACCACGCTCATTTCTTGTGAATATTCGCCCTTAGTCTGTTCCAGTACCCATCGGACTTACTGAGAGACCATTCGGATACATACATTGGGACATATTCATAGTCGACATAAAGTAGATTATATAGTTAGTTGTTGCTATTCCATTGAAAATTATGACAAAAATCACGAATTAACTTTAGTAGTATCGACATGTTATGGCTATGAATCGCCTTTTTCAGTTACGCATTCTAAGCTAAGTCCTGGAGTAATGGAACAAACTAACTGATTACACTGACTATGCGCTCTATGCGGAGTATAATTACACCCCGGATTCACATGCGCTGCTTGTAAGTATAATCAGCAATGCAATTACTGCAATGTAAGTATAATCAGCGCTTTATTCTTCATCTTCATATTGGACTTTTTGCATGTATTCGTATTCATCTCCGTCTTCACTTTCGTAAACGTAATCGCATTCGCATTCGTCCTAGTTTTCATTTTCTTATTCGCTTTAGTGTAACTTTTCGTCTGAGCATTCGTCTTTGTATTCGTATTCGTTTTTGAATTTCGTATTGTCCTTCACCGTCGTCTTCCTATCCGTCCTCGTATTCGCCTCCATTTTCGTTTTCGTATTCGTATTGCTTTTCGTCTTTGTCGTTGTATTCGTCTTCGAATTTATATCTTTACTCGTCCTCATATTCCTTTTCTACTCGTAATGGGCTTTGTATTCGTCTAAGTAATCGTTCTCGTATTCTCTTTCGTCTTTAGTTCATATTCGTTTGTGCATTTGGCTTGTTGTCTTGTTTGAGTAGCTCGCCTACCATAAAATAAATAATAAATAAATGGGTTTGAAACCCACCTTTTTATTCAAAGTCGCGTTTTTTTATTTTTTCTCTGACATCAGGATTTATTTTAAAGGAATTTGTAATTTCAAAGATATGATTACTTCCAAAAATTATTCAAACAATTCAATGCAATGTAGAATAAAAATATGGGTAGCAAATGCAAGAGGAAATTTTTTTAGAATTTAAAAAAATTAAAATTTTTAAAGCTAATAAAGTTAGAAGGAGGAGATTCGAAGATGTTATCGAGTTTATATAAGTCCTTAACATATAATTTTTTTCACCAACACATATTGCGAAATTTCAAGGATAAAATTTTAAAAGGACATTTTGCATATTTACTAGTCCTTATGCACCAAAAAATTGAATCTGTTTAAATTCTAAAGGATTTGCCATTTTAATTTGATACCCATACTCTTCTCTAAGCACATTTCACTGAATTTTTTAAATCCTTTTATTACTGACGTCAGAGTGAAAAACTAAAAACGCAATTTTGCTATATTAGACCCATGGTTTCGCGAATATATTGATTTTTGCGTGTAAAATTTACTATCGCTCGGTGATATATATAAATTGAGCTAGGCATTTATAAAAAATATTAATTAATAAATAAATTGAAAATATATAGGCAATACTGGTCAAATAAATAAATTTATATTATTGTCATCAGTCCAAATTACAAATCCCGAAAATCCCGGGATAGTTTGCCAAGAACCACGGGATTTTCGGGACCTAAAAAAATTCCTAGTACCTACTTCTGTTTTTTTTTAAGACTAAATTTCCTGTTTATATGTACATATGTATGTCTAACATTTATCCTAAAGCAAAAACTTTGTAACGAAAACTTGAATGCCTGAAGTTTAATTTACTTTCTAAAAAATAACTCTAAAATAACCATTCGCCAAAAAGCATTCAGCAAGCACGGCACCATTTTCTCAATCTAATTTCATTTATGAACTATATACTTATATCCTCAGTTGCAAACGTACCAATCGGCAATTAAAGCGCAATAGTTAAGCAGCCTAAATAAAGTACATACAGGCATAGCGCTGCGATAAAGCTTTATTATCTGTCCTAAAGCAGTCCCAGCTGGTTAAAATAAAAGTTAATTTAATTCAACGATATTAGAAATTGATAACTTTTTTGAAACACCATCACCGGCATAAATAGCAATAAAAATCATGTGTTTCAAAGTATAAGTATATTTACCGTATGCCGTCATCTCTACCGGGTGTGTGGCTGGTATCGTAGAAGGACAATTTCCGATTGGCAAACACCAGATTCAACAATGGTTCGGCGCGTAGGCGTCTCTGCAAAAGCAAAAAGAAAAACAAACAAATTTAACTAGATATGTACTTGGAGGGAAGTGTAAAAAAAAGAAATATGATATACAAAGCGTTGCAAAAAGTGTCAAAGACAACAACGCGCCCAACTAATAAGCGTTGTACCTAATGCAAGCCAACGCCAGCGGAAATTTTCTATCACTTTGCTTTTCTTTTATCTATGTACATTAGACTGCATCACCAAACTAAGTTGCGGTTTTCCGCCGGGATTACAAAATGTATTATATTTTAAGACTATATTTATATATTTATATTTAAGACCACCAAAATATTTCGGAAAAATATAAGATTTACGTGAGCTGGACCAATTTGAAAATACATACCTCCGAAAATGGAGGTTTTTATGAATAAAAATAGTTACTTAAAGAACTTTTTGAAAAAAGTCCCCTCAGATGACAAAACAGATTAAGCTTAAAAAATCTGCATAAAAATATTTAAAAATCTTTTCGACGGAATCGTAATAATGAGATTTTTGATGCTGTTTTTTAACTTTTTTCAAAGATTAATTTACGAAGAACTTGAATAACTGGGCATTTTCCCACTCTTTTTATTTCTCATTCACGTCCCAATTTGTTTTCCAAATACCAACACATCTTAATTCAACTTGGAAAGACGCTCTTTCATTCTACCTTTATCTTTAATCCTTTGAAATTCCGTTGAAATGTTTTTTTTTTAATTTTTTAAGAATATTTTTATGCAAATTTTTTAAGCTTAAACCGTTTAGTCATTTCATTTTCATTTCATTTATTATTATAAAGAATATTAGTACAATAATATCTTAAAGACCTTTTTTAGTACAACGGTAACTTAAAATTAAGATAAGAATAAGAGTTGAGAATAAAAAGTACGTAGTACATCATGTCAGACAAAGCCTGACAAATAGCATTGGGCAAAATTTACAAATCTATATAAAACCAAAAGAGGAAAAGAAATAAAATTAAAAATTAAAAATAAAATAAATAAATAAATAGATAAATAAAAATTAAAAGAGAAAAAGAACGAAATACAATTTTCAATTAGCCTATATCTAAAACATACACATTTATATTTTGAGGGACTTTTTCAAAAAAATCTTTAAGAAACTATTTTTACTCACAAAAAAACTCAATTTTTGGAGGTATTTTCAAATTGGGCCAGCTCACTTAGATCTGCACATTTTTCCGAAATAGTTTGGTGAAAGTCTTAAAATGTAATAGATTTTATAATTCCAATGGAAACACAGTACCGATTTTTTTTGTATGCGGAGTGATGCAGTCTAATGTACATATGTACATATATGCTAATTGCAAAATGAGCAAAAACCATTTGGACGCGCCCCGTCTAAGACGATTGGCGTAATTTGCGCGCATTGCTAGTAGAGGTCAAATGTCAAAGGGGTCATCTGAAAGCTTTGTAAGGCAAGTAAAATGCTTTCTTAAGTCAACTTTCACATTTCGTCGCGACAAAATAAACAAAATGAGACTGCTGAAAGAGGTTGACAAAGTAGTATATTAGTATTACACGTATGGGCATACATACATATGTACGTAAGTACATATTATTAAGCGTTTTTAGTATGCACTATATTCCATCGCTCTTGTAAGATTATATCGGAAATACAGTGCAAACATTCTTTTTTTTATAAATTAATCAATTACCCTAAGTAAGTAATGCATACTTATATTGTATTGTTATACTTTCGCACGCGCCATTTACCGCTACTTGCTAATTTATTTTCTGGTCAACAATTAAGTTGATTTCACTATCATTTTCATCGCTTGCCATAACCTTAATTATGAATCGATAAAGTCATCGCGCCGCTGTCTTTGTTGAGTTCCATTTCATGCCAGCTACAGTGAGGTACAATAAATGACAAACTGACATTGTTGGAAGGAATTTATGTAGAACTTACATACATAGATGAATACATATATATATTTTCAATAATATGCATACACGTACATACATACATATACATACACATGCAATACGGCGATTGTGTACCATCAGCATCAGAATTTGCTGAACTGATCGATATCAAATTATTAATAAAATTTATCATAGAGACTTTATGAGCGCAGCCAGAAAAATGCTATATAAAATAGTATATACGAGTTGTACATTCGACTACCGCCCAGCAAAATATTTCGGCTCAAGTTAGCTTCATTCGTGAGCTGGGCAGTTTTAAAAACCCAATAAAAGTTGTATTTTTCTTAAAATAAATACATATATATCGCAAAATTTCTATATGGTATGGTGTGAAAAAAATAGAAAAGAAAGAAAGAGAAAGTTCGGACTTGGTATTTGAACTAACTCAATTTTGAATGCAATGTGAATCAATTTCACAAAGAACAATGATGGAATAGTTTTCCCCTCTTTCACCATTAATTGACCATTTAAGTCCCAAAAGGTTTACGTAAACAAGAGCGATGTGAACAGTCATTTTTTAAGGACGTTAGATAACTTTTCAATGATGCCGTGATATGAGTTATGTATGTATAAAATAAAATAAAATGTTTAATCGAAAGACATGATTGAAGACGTAAGAAAATATCTGTTCATAAAAACTGTTAAGTATGTTAACAAGCTTTTAAAAAATCGTCAGGGTATCCCTTACCTCCGAACCTCACAGGCAAACACCGATTGCCTACCAACTGTCATTTTGACAGATGGTTACGAACAATATGATTGCAAGTTTTTGTGTGTGGGAACTTTCATGTCTTGACAACATTCTCTCTATTTCAGTGTTTAGAAACATTTTAATTCTAAAAAACTTGTTGAATAACTTCTAAAACGAAATGAAAAAATAATCCCGCGGGTCCCTGCTTCTTATTTTGATTATATATCAAGAGTTCATCGATGTTACCACCAGCACGATGTCAAACTACCAGATTGTCAGCAATAGCTCTCAAGCAAAAAGCGCTGAGATATATTGCAGCCCATCAGTAATAGGCGGTCTACATTGAAATATATTTTTTGACATGATTATCACGACATC